CTAGTTTGGTTATGAAATGTCTGCAAGAAAACAGCCAAGCTCAGAGAGCACCAAGGACCCCAGTTTTCCTCCTCCTCCTCCTCCTCCTCAAACCCTACTCCCTTCTAGTACTGAGGATGTTACTTAGTTGGATCATGAAATGTTTGCAAGAAAAACACCAAACTCAGAGAGCATCAAGAACCCCACACTTCTTCCTCCTCTTCCTCCTCCTCCCTCTTGCAAACTCCATTCCCTTCTAACACTGATGATGTTCCCTAGTTGGGTCATGAAACGTCTACAACAAAGCTACCAAGCTCAGAGAGGACCATGGACCCCACAGTCCTCCTCTCCACAAACTCTCCTCTTTTCTTGTACTGAGGATGTTACTTAGTTGGATCATGAAACGTGTGCAAGGAAACCACCAAACTCAGAGAGCACCAAGAACCCCACAGTCCTCCTCCTCCACCCCCCCCACTAGCATTGATGATATAACCTAGTCTGATCACGAAACATCTGCAAGAAAACAACCCAGTTCAGGGCCTCTCATTTCTCCTTCTCATCCTCCACAAACCCTTTGTTAGGTGGGGAATTCTGGGTTTCGAAGTCCAAACTGCCAAAGTTGAAATAAGCTGGTTTTAAAATTCAACCATTTGTGACTCAGATCCATTTTGTAAAGGGGAATGTTTGGGGGGCTGTAGATGCCCTTAATGTTTGGGGAGGGGTGGTTTGGTGGCATGAAGGGGGTACATTCTCATTTCACTGATTTATGTGCATTTTTTTATAGCCCCAGGGCCGAAGACTTTGGGTGAGTTCTAATATTGTAAAGCAGACTTTGGCCAACTTTGGCCACTTTTAAGACTTGTGGACTTCAACTCCCAGAATTCCCCAGCCAGCCAGGAACGATAGAGTTGGAAGAGACCAGAAGGGTCATCTAAGTCAGGAGTCTCCAACCTTGACCACTGTAAGACTTGTGGACTTCAGCTCCCAGAATTCTCCAGCCAGTTATGTAGGTTAGCATGTTGGCTTGTTGTGTCTCATTGCTGTGTTATGGTTTGACTGGCAGGTCAAAAAAAAAAAAAAAACACGAAGTAGACAACTGCAATCGCACAATCAGAAGTTTTGCCTTCTTGGTTAGGTGTGTTGGGCCAGAACTTCCTGGTCCCCAACTCCACTCTTAAATTTCCGTTCCTTTGAGTCCACACAACTGAGAGTCACCTGTGGCCTCCTCCTGCCTCTTCTCTTGAGGTCTTGGAAGCCTCTTAGCAGGGGGTTGGGCTAGAAGTCCTCCAGGGTCCCTTCCAACTCTTGTTATTCTGTTAAGACCACACAGGAATGGTCACTCTTGCTTCCAAGATGCTCCATCAGAACTTCCTCCTTGGTAGACCGATCCGAATGTAACCACCACTTATTACAAAGATATTCACTCTGGCATGGTTGAAGCTCTCTATTGTCAGATACAAACCCACTACATTTTTGGTATCATATTTATTTGTTTGCTTATTTAATATTAGATTTATATGGCCACCCAATTACTCCCAGTGACTCTGGGTTGTTTACAAAAAATAAGAACCCAATATACAACAATATAAACAATGACTGCCCCCTCCCATTTATACAAAGGCTACATATTTGTGGACGTTGACATTCTAGGAAGAGTGCAGAGAAGAGCAAAAAAAGAGGATTAAAGGCTTGGAGGAGAAAACATCCAAGAACTGTTGCAGGAATTGGGTACGGCCAGTCTAGTGAAAAGACGGACTAGGGGGAACATGGTAGCAGTCTTCCAATATTTGAGGGGCTGCCCCAAAGAAGAGGGGGGGGTCAACCTATTCTCACTAGATGACCTACAAAGTCCCTTCCAACTCTGATAATTTGTAATCTTTCTTTTTTTCCTTTTCTTTCTTCCTTTTCCTCTTTCTTTCCCCTTGTATCTCAGCCCCCCTTTCCCTCCCTTAATTTCCCTTCTGCAAGGAACAATGGGTGGAAACTGATCCAGGAGAGATTCAACCTGGAAAAAAGGAGAAACTTTCCGACAGGGAGAACAATCAACCGATGCAACAAAAGTTGCCTTCAGAAGTGGTGGGAGCTTCATCCCTGGAGGCTTTCAAGGAGAGACTGGACTGCCATCTGTCAGAAATGGTGTAGGGTCTCCCGCTTGGGCGGGGGGCTGGACTAGATGACCTACAAGGTCCCTTCCAACTCTATTCTGTCTTCTTCTTCTTCTTCTTCCTCCTCCTCCTCCTCCTCCTTTCTTCTTCTTCTTCTTCCTCCTCCTCCTCCTCCTCCTATTCCCCTCCTCCTCTTCTTTGTATGTTGTATAATAAAATAAAACCATAGTTAGAAGAGGCTTTCTCTGCAGGGTGTGGCTAGCGGTTATTCTTGGTCAGCCTGCCATTCAGGGGTTTCTCGGTTTGCAAATGTTTCCACACCTCAACGAAAGCAGGGAGGGGGGAACCCCCCCACTTTATCAGCAGGGCATCCGAGGTCCAAGATCAAAGCTGAGCCAAACGCTCACCATGGTCTCTGCCAAAGGCTAAGGGGGGAGCGGGGCAGCCCTTCCACACCCACCCTCTGGGAAAATGTGTGAGAGAGAAACAGCCAGCCCAGCCTCACATCCTTTGCGGGGGCTGTTGGGGGTGAAGAGGTGTGAAGTAATTCCCCGGGGAAGCACTTCAAGTGCCGACGCACAGACGCACAATCAACGGAAGGGGTGAGATGCACTGGGGGGGTGGGGGGTGGAATCTACCTTCCTCTGTTTAATGCTGTGATTCATTCTTCCTTCCAAGCACATTTCCAGAGAGCTTTTCCCCCCCTATTTTTACTTGGCTCTTACACCATTTGGCAGCTGATATAGTGGAGAAGATGGTTAAGCATTTGCTGCCATCTCTGAGCTCTGTGGGGATGAATAACAAGAGTTGGAAGGGACCTTGGAGGTCATCTAGTCCAACCTCTCCCCGAAAGAAAGAAAAAAAAGATTACAAATTATCAGAGCTGGAAGGGACCTTGTAGGTCATCTAGTCCAACCCCCTCGAAAGAAAGAAAGAGAAAGAAAGAAGAAGGAAGGAAGGAAGGAAGGAAGGAAGGAAGGAAGGAAAAGAAAGAAAGAAATAAATTACAAATTATCCTAGTTGGAAGGGACCTTGGAGGTGTTCTAGTCCAACCCCCTAAAAGAAAAAGAAAGAAAGAAGAAAGAAAAAGGAAGGAAGGAAGAAAGAAAGAAAGAGAAAGAAAAAGAAAGAGATTACAAATTATCCTAGTTGGAAGGGACCTTGGAGGTCATCTAGTCCAACCCCCTAAAAGAAAAAGAAAAAAGAAGGGAAAAAAAAGAAAGGGAAGAAAAGAGGGGCATTGACTTCCCTGCTCAGGTAATAGGAGTTCATGGAACCCTCTGCCATTCCAGACAAATGGTCATTCAATCTCTTCTTAAGAACCTCCTAGTGATGGAGCACTTACACCTTCTGGTGTTCAATTTATGTTTTACCGACAAAGGATGCACCGTCCCATCATTGGGTAGATCAGGTTGCCCTGATAGACCAGTCCCACCGGAGGAAAAAAAAAAAAAACACTACGACTTCTGGTGGCAAGCCGTTCCCCTGATTAATGGTCATCCATGTCTGAAAGTTTCTCCTTTAATTCCAGGTTGCTTCTCTCCTTGATGAGTTTCCATCCGTTGCTTCTTGTCCTGCCTCTTCAAGGGCTTTGGAGAATAGCTTGACTGCCTCTTCTTTGGGGGCAGCCCCTCAAATATTGGAAGGCTGCCATCATGTCACCCCTAGTCCCTCTTTTCATTAAATTAGACCTACCCAATTCCAGCAACCCTTCTCTGTATATTTTAGCCTCCGGTCGTTTAGGGGGGCGTGCATAAACGCACCATCGTGCCTACTGTTCCTGTCCTACTGTTCCTTTTTGTTTGTATCCATTTCATGTATTCATCATCATGTTTATACTTATACCTGTTATCTAATACTTGCTTGACAAAATAAATAAAATAAAAAAATTAATCAGAATACAGAATGCCTGAGTTGAAAGGGACCTTGTAGGTCATCTAGTCCAACCCCCCCCCCCCCAAGCAGGAGACCCTACACCATTTCTGACAGATGGCAGTCCAGTCTCTTCTTGAAAACCTCCAGGGATGAAGCTCCCACAACTTCCAAAGGCAACTTCTGTCCACAGGTTAATTGTTCTCCCTGTCAGAAAATTCCTCCTTATTTCCAGGTTGAATCTCTCCTTGTTCCATTTCCATCCATTATTCCTTTTCTGGGCTTTGGGAGCTTTGGAGAATAGCTTGACCCCCTTCCTCCTCTCTGTGGCAGCCCCTCAAATATTGGAAGATGCTTTCCTGTCTCCCCTGGTCCTTCTCTTCCCTAGACTAGCCAGGCCCGGTTCCTGCAACCGTTCATCGTATGTTTTAGCCTCCAATCCCCTCATCATCCTGGTTGTTCTTCTCTGCACTCTTTCTAGAGCTTCAACCTCTTTTTTATAGTGTGGTGACCAAAACTGGATGCAGTACTCTAGGTGTGGCCTTACCAAGGCTTTACAGAGTGGTATTAGTACCTCCCTTGATCTTTATTGTAAAGGTAAAGGTAAAAGTTCCCCTTGCACATACATGCTAGTCCTTTCCGGCTCTAGGGGGCGCTGCTCATCTCCGTTACAAAGCCAAGGAAGAGCCAGCGCCGTCCGAAGACGTCTCCGTGGTCATGTGGCCGGCAGGACTAAACGCCTTTGAAGGCGCACAGAACGCTGTTCCCTTCCCACCAAAGGTGGTCCCTATTTTTCTACTTGCATTTTTTTTACCTGCTTTCGAACTGCCAGGTTGGCAGAAGCTGGGACAAGGAACGGGAGCTCACTCCGTGACACGGCGCTGGGGATTTGAACCGCCGAACTGCCGGCCTTTCTGATCGACAAGTTCAGCGTCTTAGCCACTGAGCCACCCGCATCCCTTTGTTAATGCAACTTAGGATTGCGTTGGCTTTTTGGGCTGCCGCTGCACACGGCTGGCTCCTATTTAGCTGGTTGTCCACTAAGACTCCAAGATCCCAGTTCTTGGTATTAAGCCTGGTTTCTCCTTTAAAAGCTTTGGATTTGCAGGTCGAGTGAGTGTCCAGGGGGGTGGTTGTTTGTCCCAGGATACTGGCTCCCCATTGGCCTCCTTCCTCCATCGCAAGGAAGAACGAAGACTCGAATCCAGGACTGAAGGAAGACCTGCTTCTCAGGCCCCACCTCAAATGGTTGGGAGGTCCTCGTTCTCACGCCTAACGATCCACCCCGAAAGGCCCAAAGAGACACGAGGTGTGGCCTCCGTGTCTTCTCTTCTGCTACCTCCACAACACAACTTTCCGGCACCGGCCCACACTCCCTATGTGTACTCCAGAGGGACTCCACGCCACAGCGTTGACGGAAGACCTGGAGAGAGAGAGAGAGAGAAAGAAATGCCATTTTTGAGCCCCCTCCCCACACCCCCAATAATAAGACCTGCAAGGAAGCAGGAAGGATGGAGGGTTCCTGTTTGAGGTCTTTGGATCTTGACGATTTATTATTGTTTGGTTTGGTTTCCTAGTATGATTTTGGTTACGCTTATTTCGTATCCTATGGCTATCGCCGAGGGCTGTGTCTTAGGATTCTTCAGGAATGTATTTTTTAGGTACACTGAGAGCTTATGCACCGAAGACAAATTCCTTGGGCGTCCAAATCACACGTGGGCAATGAAGAAGTGTAAATTCTATCCTGTTTCCCTGAAAATAAGACCCTGTCTTATATGTTTTTGGCCATCAAAAAAGGCACCAGGTCTTATTTTCGGGGGATGTCATCCACTGACTAACTTAACTTGCGTGCGTTGCCCCCGGCCTCCTTTTCGCTGTCCGAGGCCTTCAGGAACTTCTTCTTCTGTGGCCAGCAAGGGTGGCCAGGCTTTCTTGAAGGCCTCTGCAGCTGATAAGAGACCTCAGGATCGATCCAGAGCTTTGTTCTCAGCTCCAGAGGCCTTCAGGAAAGCCTGACCACCCTTGCCGGCTGCAGAAGAAATGGGCCGGCAAGGCAGGTGTCGGGGTGTGCGAGGCCTGGCTACACCTGTCCAAAGGGAAGTAGCAGGGCAGCTCCACCACCACCCTGCATCCCCATCCTAGCTCAATTTTTACTCCTCCACTCTGGAGTGGGTGGGATCTTAATTGGGGCTTATTTTGGGAGGGTAGGGCTTATATTGAGCACACGTGTAAAAATCAAGCTAGGACTTACTTTTGGGTAGGTTGTATTTTCGGAGAAACGGGGTATTCTATATATTTTTGACCTGCTGGGAACGAGATTTGAACTCGCCACTTCGACAACTTTGTTTCAAATGGACCTTGCTGAGGGGAAAAAAAAAATTCCTCACCGGTGGACTCCCGCCAAGCTCTTTTCCAATTTCCCCGTTGTTATGTCCCAGAGGAAAAGGGTGCCATTTGAAGATCCAGCCAAGGCGTAGCTCTTATCCGGGCTGCCGGGTTCAGAAATGCCGGATAAAAACGACGTCAAGAAATCGGGAAAGAGGATTATTGAATTATTATTTTTATCAAGGTATAATACCAGGTCAACTAGATTAAAAAAAAGTATACGTATTAAGATCGAAAACGTAAGATATCTTATTTATTTAAAACATTTATCCTTCATTCTTCATGTTGTATCCCAATTGCAGAGCAAACATTCACACCCGTAAACAGGTGAGTTACACAACACTTCCCCTAAGTGTGAAAATGGTGGCTGAAGGGATGAAAACCATGGCGGGGTTAAAACAGGCCCTAAAGGAAAAGACTTCACTGGCCCAAAACCCTGTTGTGGTCCGGCGGCGGCCTGCGGAGATGGCAGCAGAGTTGGACAGTGCGGGGGAACATGGCCAGTCCTGGAGTCTGGGGAGGGCTCGGATGAGGGATCTGCATCCGACACAGAGACGGGGCCAGGGCCATTTGGAAGTTATGTGCCAACTCCAGAGCCTTCAGAATCTGACAGCAGTGAGGCAGAGGAACAGCGGGAGCCTGTTCCCAGTGTGTGTATGCGCAGAGCTGTCGGAAGGGAAGAACAGTTAAGACAAAAGGGGCGACTCGGGAGGAAGGCTTGGAGGTGATTGGCCCCTCCCATCAGGGATAAAGGAGGACAGGAGCCTTTGCAGGAAGCAACTTTGTTCGTACTGGTCGGTTTGAAACCTGAAGCTCCGTGTTGACTTTGTGCTCCATTTGGCCTTGTATAATTAAAATGTACAACTACCTTTTAAAATTTGACAGAAAACAAATTTTGGAATAAAATAAGGATCCGGTTGCAAGAAATAATTGGTTCAAAAACAGAACTTAAGCCTGAAATGTTCTTATTAGGGATAATCAGAGGTGAATACAAGAAAGACATTGGATATATAATAATACATATACTAACAGCAGCTAGAATAACGTATGCCCAAAATTGGAAATCAGAGAGTAGTCCCACAGATAATATGATTATAAAGAAAATTATGGATTGTGCAGAAATGAATAAACTTACAATGGCGTTGCAGGAGAAGGAAGAAAAAGAATATTATATGGTCTGGGGAAAACGGTATGTTTGGTTAGATAACAGGAATAAAAGATAATGCAAAATGTAAATGTAAATTATGTATGTATGTGTGTGTGTATGCGTAAATGAAAATGGAAAAGTCGATACCACAACTTACTGCAAAAATTGTATTTGTGATTTGTTTTTAAAAGGGTAAAAACTTAATAAAAAGTGGCCTTGTCTAACTAACTGGAAATTTAGTCATTGGTAGCATTTCAAGAAAGATAAAGCACCCACCTTTATCAGGCTTATCCCGAAGGATTTTGGCAGACTTCCGTGGGACTATTTACAAACTGTTTGAGACTCATTACAGGCTGTGTGAATGACGATAATTCACAGCCGTTGAAATGAAACCAAAGGATTTTGGGACTAACGTGTGTGTGTTAGCGTCTCAGGAAGCCTCGGTCAGAACAAACCCATCGCGTATCAAAGATTGTGCGCCATCCCTAGATTGGCAGACTCACCTGAACACAGCTTTGGTCCCATCAGAGCCACATTTGAATCCATCCGCTCTTTCCCCCAAAAATAAATAAAATAAAGAAGATTATAGTGAGATTTGCCCTTTTTTTGGAGGGGGGTGTGTGTGAATCTGGGGCCGGAAGGGCAAGGATGAAGGGTTTTTGGTTTTTTTTGCAAAATACCTTGATTTAACAATCATTCGTTTAGTGACCGTTTGAAGTGAGAAGGGCGCTGAAAAAAAAAAGTGACTTGAGGCCATTTTTCACACATTATGACTGCGGCAGTGCGGTCGTGAACACGTGGTCAGAATTCAGGCGCTTGGCAGCCGAGGGGAGAAGTTGTAAAATGGGGCCTAAATTCACTTGACAATGGTGTTGCTCAGCAACAGAAATTTCGATGGGTTTTGAAACTAAAATTCGACCTCGAAAGGGCCACACGCTCAAAATCCAGATTTTATTTATTTATGAACAAAATGTACATGTTAGGCCAACTCACTCCTGGGTGACTCCAGGTGGCTTCACCAGGGAAACCATAATTCCACTGGGGAGGACAGTTGGATCAACCGCTCGGGGGTGCTCCGTAACCCATATGGCGAGACAGGGGGAAACTGAGGCTGGGAATTAAAAGAGTAAGGATCAAGACAGAAGAGAATCTTGGTAGCTCCGGGTTGATACGGTGAGGTCCTTGGTGCTCCCTGAGCTGGGTGGTTTTCTTGCAGACGTTTCATGACCCAACTAGGTAATAACATCAGTGCTAGAAAGGGATGGGGTTTGTGGAGAGGAGGAGGAGCAGGAGGAGGAGGAGGAGGAGGAGGAGGGGAACTATGGGGTCCTTGGTGCTCTCTGAGCTGGGTGGTTTTCTTGCAGATGTTTCATGACCCAACTAGGTAACAACATCAGTGCTAGAAGGGAGTGGGGTTTGGAGGGGTGAGGAGGAGGAGGAGAAGAAGGGGGAGGAGGGGAGGAGGAGGAGGAGGAAGAGGAGGAGGAGGAGAATGACTATAGGGTCCTTGCTTCTCTCTGAGCTGGACTGTTTTCTTGCAGATGTTTCATGACCCATCTGTGTAACATCATCAGTGAAAAGAAGTGTAGAATTTGCCCCTTGCACTAATGATGTTCCCTAGCTGGGTCATGAAATGTCTGCAACAAAACAACCCAGCAAAGACAGCACCAAGGACCTCACACTCCTCCTCCTCCTCTCTGAAAACTCCTCTCCCTTCTAGCACTGATGACGTTCCTTAGTTGGGCCATAAAATGTCTGCAAGCAAACCACCAATCTCAGAGAGCACCCAGAACTCCAGGGTTGTTTCTTCTTCTTCTTCTTCTTCTTCTTCTTCTTCTTCTTCTTCTTCTTCTTCTTCTTCTTCTTCTTCTTCTTCTTCTTCTTCTTCTTCCTCCTCCTCCTCCTCCTCCTCCTCCTCCTCCTCCCTGTAAATCCCACTCCCTTCTAGCACTGATGACGTTCCCTAGTTGGGCCATAAAATGTCTGTAAGAAAACCACCCAGCTAAGAGATCGTCAAGGGCCCCTCACCGTCTAGGAACCCCAGGCAGCTTGGGACGGGGCAGTCCCCTCTGCAGTTCCCATCTGCAGCTCCTCACCTGAAGACCTGCTGGACGGTGTGCATCCTCAGGTCAATGACCTTGAGCGCGTTGTCCCGGGAGCAACTCAGAAGTTGCAGCTGGTCAGGGCTGAGGCTGAGCGAGGTGACCTTAGCTCCCACGGGGACCACTTGTGTGCAGCGAGAGTCCCTGGGGGAGGAAGCAGAGAGGGAGGGGTTTGCTGTTTAATATATATATATATATATATATATATATATATACACACACATACACACACACACACATACATACACACACACACACATACATACACACACACACATATATATATATCAGGTGACAGATAAAGGCTACTGTAAAACTCAATTTCAAAGCCAACGATTGTTTTAACTTTGCAAATAAAACCAATATATAAATATCTATAAATATCTATAAATAAATTATAAATAAATATCTATAAATAAATATCTACAAATCTCTCTCTCTCTCTCTCTCTGTGTGTGTGTGTGTGTGTGTGTGTAAAAGAAACAGACATCCTGCAATCTCCGGAACTTAAAATTACATTTATTGTACTTACTAAGCTTTCGTCAGCTTCTGCTGACATCGTCACAGTATTAAGCTACCATTACAGAGATCTCTGCCTTTATATATCATTCATCAATTTAGTCCTTGCACGTGTAATAGGCCCTCTCAACCGCCTCCCATCTGTAATTAGCTCTGTTGTTTTTGCTTCCATCATGTTGGTCAAAGGAAGCTTATCTCTTGTTGTTGCTTTCTTTCTCCTGTGCCCGACCCAGCCTGGAATTCTTATCTCTAGAAATACACACACACACACACATACACATCTATATATCTATATATACATATACCTATATCTATCTATCTATCCATGCATTCATCCATCCATCCATCCATACCTCTATCTATATATCATATCATATCATATCATATCATATCATATCATATCAATCTTCTATCTATCTATCTATCTATCTATCTATCTATCTAATCATTATCTATTTATTTATCTATCTATCTATCCATCCATCTATATCTATCTATCTATCATCTA